GTAGCCCGCCCTCAGACGCAGTCGAACAACCCAAACAACCAAACTGACACCAACGTCGTCTGCGGTCTTGGTATTTGAGGTTAGGTACGATGTCAGTTTAGTGTCGCGACTAGGCTTACTCAACAGCTTATGTTTAGCTGTTTAAAGTTCGTGGTTTAGCTGTTATTTTACCCCCTACACATTTGAACCGTTACAAATAAACATATGATGTTCCACAATCTAATGCTAAACCTGGTAGGATTATGGACCTTAAAATGAACCTAGGTTATATAACATTTCAACAGCTTTTCTTAAAATCTAATCATATTAGAGTGTTGAATTTCAAAACTTGCATAAGGAGATCAGTCGGTGGGGCACACGGGAGGGACTAAGGCTAACATATCTTGTAGTGTCAGCGTTCGCCGCTAGAACCGCTAAGGTGAAAAAGTTTGAATTATTATTTTTTTTAGTTTATAGTTATAAAATTAACTTTTTAATTATAAAATATTGTTTTAAAATTATAAAATAAATTTTTAATTTTTAAAATTAAACTGCCATAACATAACCTAACCAACCAGACTTGCTGATAATATAAAAACTATATAAGACAAAAATCTAATTAATTATTACTTATAATTTTAATTAATTATAAAATTAATTTTAAAATTTAGTATTATAAAGAAACTGTCATAACCTAACCTAACCAACCAAACTTGCTGATATGAAAAATTTGTTGACAAAAAGTTAGTGTTGCCAGCGGGTTTTGAACCCGGGACCTCCTGAACACCAATCCGAAACGCTACCAATTATGCCACGAACGCCGCTGGAAACTCATCGTTTCGTTACGGTAATCGTGTTGCCTCAAGAGTAGACATTAGCCACTAGAGATATGACGTCACTACACCTTTAGCCTTAGTCCCTTCCGTGTGCCCATTCCGGAGATCAGTGGTTTGTTGTATCCAAACACTAAAACTGTATATCAATGCACATTAAATAGAAATAAAATTATTTTTTTGTTTGGTATTAATTTTTTTAATTTTTAATGACCTAGTTGAAATTTTACAGGACCTATAAAAAGGTCACAGAAGGCAGTAAATATTCATTGAGCATTTTCAAGGGATTTAAATACATTATTCGTTAAATTTTTTTATGAAATGCAAATTGTCGCTTATACAACCCCAGACATTTTTGACAACGTTAACAAGTCACTAAAACCATCAATTCTTAGGCAACTTTGACAAATTATTCTAATTATTAACACGTTATTTACTCCATTGACTTCTCGATACCTCAATAAAAATATTATTCAAAGATTGTTTATAAAGTTATCTAGCCAGAGGAGAAGAGGGTGACCTTGAATGATAAGACAGGAGTGATTGACATAACTGCTCTGGTCAGTGAGTAGCCATGAGGCTAACAGTGTGGCGTTCAGTGCAATCAGTGGTCAAAAGTCATAAAAACCGTTCATTCTCCAGTTCTTACCTACAAAAGCCACGCCTCAGGTAACAATATTATAATCTATTTAGTACAATAGCTTTAAAACAAATGTAATTTAGTGTCAAAAGTTTCTGATATAGAGAATCAAACCTTTTGCTATGGTACAAGTGTTTTCGAATGCTACTACGATGTTTTTTTTACAATTCAAAACCCTGGTCTTGTTATCTAACTTTGACTTTTTTAGAAAGCACTTATACCAATGACAATTGGCTACTGTGAACTAAAATCGAACCAGTAAAATTCAGATTTGAAGGTGAGCTAATTCACTCTGCTTCTACTTTAGTTTATGCAATTAACTTTTCTCTTACTAGATAAATAGAGAGCGATACAGAATGATAAATCTATTTTTTTCTTCAAGAACTCCTTCCATCCAAACAAAATTCCTGACAGTCAGGGGGTTTTCATCATTATTACTTGAAACAGCAACACCACCTACTTTTCATTTAAGATGAGTGTAGAAAGGAGGGAGATGATCTGGGTAGCATTACTGACTAAGATCAGCTGTTTCTCTGCTCAGGATCATCTATACTTATTTAATACGCAAGCACGTTTTTTTGTGACAATTACTCCTCCGAAACTACTGAACCGATTGACATGTTTTTGGTGTCATTGGAAAGAGCGTAACGTGAAGTTGTGCAGGAAACTTTCTTTTTAGGGAAATAATTAGAGAGTGATGCCTGGGGCCCTACTACATAATAATTGCTGTGTATTTTGACTATTAATGTATAATACATTTCAATCAAGGATTAAGTACCTTAAAGTTTACTAATAATGTATCTAACTACTTTATTTTAATGCTGGGAATAGTAAAATTCAGTTGTGACTAAGTTACCATGATTTAGAAAACTTTACTATAATCTTATCTTACTAATATTATAAATCTGAAAGTTTGTGAGTTTGTGTGTATGTTTGTGTGTATGTTTGTGTGTGTGTTTGTGTGTGTGTTGCTCAATCACGCATAAACTACTGGACGGATTGGGCTGAAATTTGGCATGATGATAGCTCACATTCCCGATTAACATTAAAGCATATTCTTATCTCAAAAACCCTTTCGGGCTCTGCCCCAGTGGCTCTGTAGTCCCCCATGTTAATCTTATGATTTTTCATATTTAAAAGGAATTAATGAATCTTAACAGCTGTTTCAATTAAACAAGTTGGTTCTGTTCTATGATGTTCAATAGAATAAAAGTTAAAAGGATTACCAACAGGGTGCAGCACTATTAATTTTTTTTAAATATATGACAACAGCTAATTTCCAACCAAAAGATGAGTGAGCATAGCGAACAAACTTCAACCTGGAGGCGAGTTAGCGTAGCGAACGAGCTAACCTGAAGGCAAGTGAGCGCAGCGAACGAGCTTCAACCTAAAGGTGAGTGAGCGTAGCGAACGAACTTCAACCAGGACGTGAATGAGCCATGCGAATACTTATGAAGTTAAACGGGGCGAAGCCCGCGGGTACAGCTAGTAATTTATGTATTTAAAATCACAAATCTTTGACATTCTTAATTCATTAGAAACAAAACAGCTGATCGAGAAATCAAACAAATCATCTACTTCATGTGAATGTTTTTTACATAAACATAGTTTTTTTTACCAATAACTTGATTATCTTTTACTTGTGGGTGTATTTTGAGTTTGCAGTTATGAAAGCACCAAGCCAAGTAACTTTTATCTCATTTTCTGTATAAACTAACAGTATTAATGAATTACTACATGAACTTTACAAGTTAGGTAATTAATTGTCAGTATGCCAAGGGGAAGAAGAGTGGGTCGTCGAAAACAGTCGAAGGCGGAGTCACCCATCTAGAAAATCGAACTGAGTTATCAAAAAGGGCCTCATTAATGGCACAAGGCTGCATGTGATCAGAACGGTTAACAACAATGTAAAGTAGAATGTAAAGTCCTAACTGGAACAAGTGAGTAGGAACATATTTTGATTTCGAGGATAAAAATTTGCCCGTCTGAAACAAACTTGCCTTTTAAAATGGAAAGATGCTAATTTCTGTTATCTTTGGCATTTGCAGCACAAGCACTTTAATTAAAGAGCAACACTCTTCTTAGCCAGACCAATTTCAGTCATGAGCAACTAACTATATATATGTTGTTTTAAGTAAGGCTACATCTTTTAATAGGATACGCGCATATTCATTACGGAAAATTCTGACCAGGGTAATATTCCTGAAGGTAACTTTAAGACTAAAATCGTAGTATTCATAGAAATGCTTTTGTGAAAAAAATATTGTTTTTTAGTGTTTATTTTTAAAAGTGTTTTCTCCAAGCAGCATTTTATGACCCTCAAACTATGCTACATAGGCCTATTGATTTGATATGATAAAATGTTTTGTTAAATGTGTTTTTTTAATCTTTAAAAAAATAACTACCCTATAACATACTTGAACATGAACACTTATTAATTTACTAAATATAATATGCATACAGCTAGAAAATGGCTGGACTGCTTCCCTTCTAAGATTTTATTATTACTGTATTTAATTTTCGACGTTGAGTCAATATATAACACGATGAATTTGTTTTCTAAATTCATGTGTTTTTGCGGGGCATTGAACCGCACAGGTTCACTAGTTTATTTTTATTAATGAAACATTGTTTACCTGGGCCCCTTTTCAACCCAATAGAAAGCTATATTGACTTTTCTTGTAACTAGACTAGAAACCTTTTGATTGTCAAAGTTTTATCATTGACTATTGGGTACTGAAGTAGACATCCCATTTATGAGGACCAGCTGTTGCCAATTTGTCATTAAAAAAGTAAGCAGTTGTGTGAGCCAGTCATAGAATGCGCTAGTGTCTGAAATGCTAATTTACACCTTATTTTTTGTTATTGACCACGTTGATGGGTCATAACAGTTGCTACAGCTCACCATAAGACATTCCTTAAGTTTAACTTCTACTTGGTAAAAAGCTTGTGTATTCGACAGAATTTAGTAATTTAGGTCAGCGGAATCTGACGGTGCTCACATCAACTACAACGATTTTGATAAAAAGTCTGGCTACAAATTTTACATGGAGTTATATTAATAGTCAAAGGTTTTATTCTGGATTTCATAAAATAAAATTGTACCACACTCACATCCTCAAACACTGCGGTACTTCCTGTTGTCATAAATTCCGCCCCTTTATCACAACCTGATAACAATGAGCGATCAACGGATTAAGGGTACAATAAGCCGCAATAGTGGGTGTTATCGGAAGCTCACCGATCTAGATAGTTGAATGAACCCAGATATTAGACGCTCACGCAGAAGATAAGTCCACTTCACCTGGAGTAGTAAATATGTGTGTCTACCAGTTACTTATCTGTACTTGAGTGATAATGTTAGATGTTGTTTGAACTCAGAAACACAACATAGTGAGTTAAGGTTTTGATGAACATGATTTGCGTATAATGACCCTTTGGTTCACAATGAATCTACCTATGTTTACTAGAGCTTTGCGTCAAGTTTGGAATGTGAGGGAGGCTCATTTGTGTTATCGTTTTACTCCATGTTTGTATAGGTAGGTGCTTTTTAGTGTCAAAACATACTTTTACAAAGCTGGGTAATTGAGTAGTATTAGGAGTCAAGTTTTATTTTAATTTTACATAAAACTATAAATTTCCAACCAGACATTAAATATGTTTGCACTCGGTGAATTTAAAAATAGATGGATTCAGCTAAAGTTCAAGTATAATCTCAACGCAATTCAATAGTAGAACAAGGTTTTAATCAGCTGTTCTTTATTTTTGAAATGCACTTGTTGTTATTCTGCTATCTTGCCCTTTGACTTCTGTTGGTGATATTAACAACTGTTTTTTTAAGTTAATCACATCTGGTTTTGGAAAGCAATTAAAACTCAAGGATATTTACTGATTGATTACTTTAATTAGCAAGTTATTTATGAGTTTAATTGCATAGCAGAGTACATTAAATCAATAATGTCAACCAGAGAATTGTAATAAATGCAACTTCGTATTTTTTCCTTATATATTCAAAACAAAGTGGTTTTAAAATATTGACTTTAAAAAGTTTTTTTATAAACTTCTGTTGCAAAATCAATTAAACTCAACCATCCAACACTTTTAGTTCCTTTATAATTAATATCACTAAAATGTATGTGTTGTTAATTAAACCCTCATTATTTACTGATAATTCCTGCCTTTAATTAGTTTGCCTAGTTTAGAACAAGCTCTTTAAATTAAATTGGTCAAGTTAACCTTTTAACTTTACAATTCCTCTTAATTAGTGTAGTTTTAATTCTACTTAGAAAATGTATACACCTTGCAAATCTATTGTCGCAGCTATAATTCCATGATACTATACTATTCTAAACAAATTTGTAAATCAAGAATATTAATTTTCTATTGTCTCTAGTATACTTGATACTTGTTAATATCCCACTGGAAGCGTATCTACGCCGTGGTCGTCAATGTATTATATTTACTCTTCATTTCTCTTATTCTGTTACTCTTCCAGGAAATGTTTACTTCAGATCACATTTTTTTATTCTGGTATTTGTATTTTGATTTCTCTCTCCACAAATAATCTACCAAGACAATGGTGAACAGAAGAACCCCTCTGAACACCCCTTGAACGTATCCCAAAACAAAACTCACATTCCTGTTTTTGCCACAGTCAATGTCAAATCGCGCTTTTCCTTAAGTGTTTCTCACTGATCAGATTGTCTATTCAATCCTGAGAAAATTCAGAAGCTTTTTGATCATTCAAAACTGTGTCCAGCTGTTTGATCATTCAAAACTATGTCCAGCTTAACACCAAACAGCTGCCAAAAAAAAAAAAACCGATTTCCAACCAGAAACATTAAATATGTTTGTACTTGGTGCGTTAATAATTTTGTGGCTCGATTTTCAAACGATCATTGGACTTAAATATATAAAGGTTAGACCAGCTGATCTTAGTGAGTAACAAAGTTGTCATCTTGCTCATTTATTAACTGAGCAAGATGACAACTTGAGTTGAACACTCATTTATTAACTTTCCCTTAAAATACACACTCCAGTGTGCCTGCCTAATGCAAGCTTATCACTTTGATTCAAAAACGCCCTAGATGAATCAGTCTTTCATCTTATCAGCGTGAGACATCACAAACTATTTTTGTTATTCAGAGACACCGCAGCTTCTGTAATCCTTGCCAAAGATGATTATCAGACAGACTCACAATATTCGGCAGATCTTGCGGAGTTCCAGGCTGCCTACCCGGACATCGAGAGAGCCCTTACTGAGATGAGAGAACGATATGCTGACACGGAGGCTGCCAACCAATGGTTCAAGAAGGTAAATTAATGAATAGCAATATCGTTGTGCTATGAGATGTAGAAAGTAATACGATTGCATTTATACATTTTCATGCATATACCTCTTGTTTGTTATTAATATTTAGAAATGTTTTGTTTCTACCTTACAACTCACTTGTTGGGAAGCGAGCTATGGTGGAGTGGTTAGAGCGCGGGACTTCAGTCCCTGAGGTCCCGGGTACGATCCCCACCAAGTCACCAATGGATTTTATCTAAGTGATAATGCCGCAACCCCTAGGTCTAGCCTGAAGTAATGTGAAAAACAATCCCAGGCTCGTGCCTAGCGTCCTAGGAAAAAAAACCTTACAACTCAAAATAGATGTCCATATGGTTTTTCTTCAGTCAATGCTGGATGTTGATGGATTAAAGTATTAAGGAGTGCAGTGAGTAATTCTATTGATTGAACTTCATATCCACCTTTGTCTGATGCTTAAAAATGATATAAGTAAACAAATTATGTCTGGATTTTAAGGTATAGACGAATATTTATAGATTTTTCCTGCAAAGATTGTTGTTTCAAAATTTCAATTAATTTGTTTTTACTGGTTCGTATTGATTCTTTTGTTCCTACAAACATTATGAAATTACTTTTTGACAAGATGGTATGTTTTCTTTCCACCATGAAGTAATAGTGAATTGTCCAATAGCTTTATGTATTTTCTCATGCAGTAGTCAAGTAAATAAACATGTAACCCCCAAACGTCACTTTTGGAGTGCAAACAAAAATATTGAGATCAACAAGACTTTGAATCATTCCTTTTTCATCAAATTAATCCAAAATTTAATTACAAGTCTCTATTGTTACAGGTTCTACAATACAACATGCGTGGAGGCAGTCTTAGTCGAGGCCTAGCCGTAGTACAGTCTTATCATATCTTAGCAGCACCTGAGGACAATATAGCATCCAACACGAAACTGGCACAAGTGATGGGATGGTGTTTGGAACTGGTGAGTGACTTTTAGTCAGGGAATAACTTATCACCTATTACGAACTTTTTCAAAAAGGGATATAATTCAGCTAGCTTGTCTAAGAAAATTTGAGTCCAGGGACTGATAGATACTCAATAAAAGGTTGAAACATAATACTGATATTTCGTCCTAGTATAGAACTACTTAAAAAAGTAGATTGAAGAGACAAATTTTTGAAGGTGGGATGTGGTGGTGGGCGAGATGGCTCCAATATCATCAAACAATTTTTCCAATGTTTATTGTATGGGAACGGTCCAAGCCCTTATTTGACTTCCGTTGACCTGAAATCTGCTAGTGGTAGCCTAACTCCGATTCACTAAATTAAATAGTCTCTCAAAAGACCGTGCTTTTACTATATGGCTTGCCAGCTGTCGAGGTTTGGTTTTATTTGAGTTCAACTTTAATCTCAGCTGATGTTACTTCCGGTCTAGCAGTCCTGTTTCCCTACCACTCAAATGTGTCAATTACTAACATTGTGTTCCACATTCCTTATCTTCAGTTGCACACCAGCCTAGTCCTAACTCAGGACCTGATAGACCAGGCCCGTGAGAGGCGGGGAAAGCCTTGCTGGTATCTTCAAAATCCCCGCCAAGCTCCCGACGGAGCCGCCAGACTGTTGGACTACAGCATCTACAAACTACTTAAGAAACACTTTCGCAAGAAGGACTACTACATTGATGCTCTCGAGCTATTTCACACAGTAAGTGTTTTCGTTTGAGAAACTTTTTATCCTGCATTGTATTTGAAAGAAAGATGTGGTTTATTTATTTGGTATTTCTACACCATTGACATTTTTTACGTTTTGTAAGGAAAACTTTAGTTATTAAGTTCATATACACATGCCATAAGATATATGGGAAAAATAAATCATTTTTAAAACTTCAATACTGCATAGTTTTGGCATTTTTCTAATCGCACAAAGACCGGAATTTATTTTATTTATAACAGTGTGAGTATAGCATCACTAATTCAACCCCTATTTCAAATGACTTTTGGCTCCAGAATCTATTTCCCTTGGGATTGAATCGGCAACCTTCAGGAGTTGAAGAGAATCATTTTTTTTATTTTTTATTGTTTTCAGCTCAACATTGAATAAGGGTTTTAAGTTAGATTAGCATTTAAGTTTTAATGTATAATTTTATTAAACTTTTCAATTAAATAGGTGATTATTAAGTGCTGAGGTTTTATTTTTGTACCATGATCATAGGACAGCTTATTATTTAATTCATAATAATTTCCCCTTAGGTTTAAAAAAAAATCAAACGAGGAAAACATAGCAAATACATATTTTGAAAACAAGACCTTGATATACTCATTGAACTTTGATAAACGTGTTTTTATTTTGATAGATCTTCTTTCATTGCTGAGGGAAAATAATTTTTTTGCAAGATATCTAAATAAGTTTAATTTAAGTATAAACATAAGATTAATAATTTAAATGATTAGAATACATGAAAAAGAAAGAAATGTTGGAATAGTTATTTGTGTAACTAGTGGGCAAAGTGGCACTTTGTCGTGTTACACATTATATTCTTCCTACAGTTACTATATAAATCATATAAATAATTAGTCTTTCAAACACTGTACAACACGTTTTTAGGTTAGGTTAAGTCCAAACATTGAACGAAATGGGAAACGCTGTACCAGCTGATCGTAGCCATAATATCTTTAAGTGTTGCCAACTTATTTTCAAGTGTACACGACTTGCATAATAAAAGCACACTGTATTGTGTTGTTTTGTTGGAGGAATACTGGTGAGTGGCAAAAAAAACTGTGCGACAAAGTAAAGTGTGCGGCAAAAGTAAGTAAATCCAGCAATTAGCAGCTTTATGTACTAGGCCTACAATCAGTGCAAGAAAACCCACTTTGTCGAGTGACTGTAGGAAAAAATAGTAGGCTCCAACTGTACTCAAAATGATAATACAGATTAAGTCTATGAAAAATAGCTATATCACAAATGGAAAGTGTTTTAACACACCATTATCCACAGTAATCCAAACACAAATAAAATTAAAAAATACAAAAACTAACTACAAATTCAAATCTATTGATGTGTTTGATCCAACAGGTTGGTGAGAAGGCAATGCTTGGGAAGATATTGGACATGGAAACCAGAGGAGACCCGACGCTAAGTAGGTTTGACATGACCACTTACAACACTGTATCCAAGTATAGGAATGCCTATCACTCATTCAAACTGCCCGTGTCACTGGCATTATACATGGTGAGGATAGCACATTATTGCATAAATGGTGAGATTATGTCTGACGGGTTATTGAGGGAATTTTTAGTCATTGATTAACAAACCAGGATTTTTGTTAGGATAGCATGCTTACTTGAATAGAGAAGTCCGTTCTGGCACAAAAAACTTAACATACACAAAAACTAGAATTTTTCACTGTTACTGAACACATTTTCAACCAATAAAGATTTAAATTGGGAAAAGGAAATCTTTCTTGTTATGTGGATAGCAGTTAATACACCTTTGTATTAATTTCTGATGGTTTGGGGATTATGTTTGAATTTAGATTAGGAGAAAGAGGGATTCTAATATAGTTGCTCAACAAATACTCAGGCAGATCAGTAAATGTACAAATATACAGGTCCAATTTAACATCCTCCATAGATTTAAATGCTTCTAAGACTATTGATTTTATTCGTCATTTTCATATTGCAACTTATTTATTTTTCAGGCTGGAATCAGGGACTCAGAAGTTCACAGGCAAGCGAGAACAATCCAGTTAGAAATGGGGAATTTCTACCAAGCCCAAGTAAGTGAAAATAAAGGAAAATGTTCTGACTGACCCTTACACATTCTTCAAAATAGTTTTATTTTTAACTTTTCCAAAAACAATGACGGTTAGTCATGAAATAAAAAAATTAGACTCCTGATCGGGTTGTTTTTACAATTATGATTGTATTGGAAGTCCAGGAATTAGGAAGAGCAAAGAAAGTTAGAAAACTCTTAACCAGCAGACACTATCATAGATTGTAGATTAAGAAAGTTTTGATGTGAGTAGGCTTAAACTGTCCTTACAGGATAAACTGTCCTACTAGTCCTTACTCCTATAGGATAAACTGAACAACCCAGTGAAGTAGTCCAAAAGCTTGTCTCCAAGATTTCAACTGTGGCAGTTTTTACCCTTTTGGTCGAGTTATGCTACAAAGATATTCAAAGTTCTAAATAAAGGATTTTGGGGCTTAAATAAAAAAAATTTTTAAAGAGGTTGGCGGCCTCTTTTAACCTTGCATTGCCCGTCTACAAAGACTATTTGCCCGTACGTGGAACATATCCAGCAAAGGGGTGAGCCGGTACAGTACGAGAGTAAACTGTACTGATAAAATGTTTGTGGCAGTGACCAGGATCCAAACTCAAGACATCGCTACTTTCGGCCCAAAGTCCTTGACGCTACCGATTCACCAAAGAGAGAGTAATTTGAACACACCGATAATGTCTGTGGGTTAGGTGATTGCTTTGGCTGCGAACAAAACTAGACTTTCCATTCCTATATTAAAGTTGTAGACAGTTCTAGGATAAAAATGAATGTAGTTGGATTGTGCAACTGACAAGAGTGCACTGATGTAAATTGCTGGTTTCTGTTGAATTTATATTTTAAGCGTAACTGAATGGACAACTTAAAGTAGACTAAATAATGTATGTCCCATAAAATAACTCAGTAAAAAAACCTAGGTAGAAAAAAGAACTTTGAAAGGAGCACACTGTGTGGGGGCCCTATGTGACCAATTCAACCATGTTCTGTTGGAACGAATAATTGGCTTTGGCTGATCCATCATACTATTATAGTATTCAATTCAATACATAAGGATGTAACAAAAGACTTTTTTGTGAGGATAGCAGACTTTCCTGAATGGAAAAGAGTCCAACTAACCCTTTTAAACTCAGGAGCGAGCTGGTCTAGTGGTTAGAGCGTCTCAGGTCCCTGAGGTCCTGGGTTTAAAATAAATCCCACCAAATCACCAATGGATTTTATCTAAGTGATAATCCCAAAACCCCTAGGTCTAGCCTGAAGTAATGTGAAAAATAATCCCATCAGGCTCGTTTTTGTCTTAGGACAAAAGAACTCCCCCCCCCCAAAAAAAAAAAACCCTCTTAACCTCATCCATTCCTTAATTGAAAATGATGCCAGTGCCAGAGAAACGTTCTAAATTTTGTGTGTGTGTTTCATGTTCCTAATTGGATTCTTTCCAATCCAGGTAAGCCTGCTATTCTTACTGAATAATCCCAACTCAAAATATATTCATTCAATATACAAACGTTACAGTCTGTAACGTTTGTATATTGAATGTTACAGATAATAGTAATTTTTGTGAATATCTGTAGACTGATTGCTGGTGATAAAACAATTAATTGTTGTTGCAGTGTGACTTCTTCAATTGCTACGGGGGTGGACGCTGGGACCATGCCACCCCGGGACATGATATAGAAGACGGACGTTGTACCTGGCTGATAGTTGTGGCACTACAGAGGGCATCACCTGCCCAGAGACAAGTGCTTATCGTGAGTATCACTCGATGGAAGATCTTGATTTTTAAAATAATGAGGACTTTTTTAGGCTGGATGGTAAGAATACTTTGAGCCTTTCATTAAAAAATTGGGCTTTTACCTTCACACCTAGGAAGCTGGCATTAGCCAGCCTTACTGGCAATAGGGTATAATAATACCCTGATTTGTATTACGCATTAAATGTGTAAAACACAGCTACAGCTAGGCCTAGAAGATGGTGGCATTGTGGTATCCCATCTCAATTGATAATAAATAATTATGACATGATTAATAATTCCATTAGTGATTGTAGTTAACTGAGGATTGAACCTCAGGTCTTTGGGAACCAAATCCCTGCACTCTACCACTAGAACGATGCTCCCTAAAAGATTGTTCTTAGATTAATCCGGTTAGGAATGCCTATTTCACACGATTAAAATAAAGTTTGGTCCATAGCTTAGGCCTAACAGAAATAACAAATGGGGTTTTGAGTTATTTTGTGTCTTGTTTCCCTGCGGCTATCAGTATGTGTTGATGTCAGATACATCTATTTAAATTTGACTTAATATTTTTTGTGCTGCAAAAGGCTGAGAAAATGTTGATGTTGCTAACTCAAATTGACCCAATCTTTTACAATAAGGTTTGATTTAAAATATGCACACAAACAACTGAAATCTGTTTTTATATTGGAACCAATGCTTAATCACAGTGGTTAAATCTGATTTAGCACATTCCTTTTTGTTGTAAAGAGTTAATTGCTAAAACACTAGCAATACCATCTTAACACAATTTGTAGTTTAACCACAATTAAATTATATGGGGCCGCATTTGTGTGACTATTTTAATTTATTGAAATCATTCTAAAAACAAAGTGTCTTACGACTACTATTAATTGGATATCTTTATTCCCGATACAGAAATATTTGTTTTTCTAGGAAAATTACGGCCAGAAAGATGAAGAGAAAGTTATGAAGGTGAAAGAAGTTTACGAAGAGATCGGCATCCCCCACACTTATAAGATGTTTGAAGAGCACAGTCTAGAACTGATTTGCACACAAATCCAACAGATCTCAAGGGGCCTTCCTCACCAACTGTTCTTCAGATTCCTTAAAACCATGACAGGACATTGAACTCCTACATTGACTGTAACCATTACAGTAGAGTCTCGATAATCAACCTAATCCAATTAGGAGGAAATTAACAAAAAACCGTTGTCAAAATAATATTTAAACATTTTTTTTTGTTCCATCTTTACATCTTAGGATGTAGGCTCTTGCGCCAAAACGTTTAACAGTCTAACCTTGACATTACAGACCTCGTATAACAATTTTTTTAATCCACTATAACTATCCATAAGACACAATCATGTGTCTACAAACTCTTACCTCTTACTCTCTCTTAAACTCTTTACTTTATGTACTTTAACTCTAAATGGCAAACAAATCATATCAACAACCTTGATTTAACAAATTTGTGACGTTCCTGGCTAAAATAAGACACCTCAATATAACAAATAGGCCTATATCATTGTCAGAACCTCTGCATGGCCAATTTAACACGTTCGCTGCTACGGACGTTCTGGAACGTAAGCCGGGCCACGGTGCCAGGAGTTAGGAACGTTCCGGAACGTCACCGTTCATTGTTGTTTAACGTTTCCATGGATCAGCAAGCTCGTCACGAGCGTCCTATATTTCTTTGCAGCTTATGGGGACGAACTTTTCTAACAATAAAAAATATAGTTTCCCAAAATCACCACCAGGGTCGTTTAGAACAGGGCTTTGTCCCACATCTTTCCTGATAGATAGCGATACTACTTTACCGACTGCAACCTGGGTAGTGCTGCTATCTATCAATCACTTAGTACTATGTCCAAAGCCAGTTTTATTGCAGAACATTGCCATCCAGTATAACAGGCGAGCATTAGTTCAGCTCCTGGCGCCGTCCCGGCATCTAGCGGTCAGCAGCGAACGTGTTAACCGCTACTTAACAAATTAACTGCGTCTTTCTCTCGATATAACGAACCCCCCACATTATTATTTTTAAAAAATCACAATTCTATCCTTTGATGAAAATGAAATGGAAAGGTGAACTGTAAGAGGATCAAAATCATGCCATGTGGAAAAAAATTATACCTTAAGATAATTTATACAATATTTACTTTGTACAAAGAACATGTGATTCATTGTGTTTAGTTGTTTTGTTACTACAATGTAGTACTTGTTATAAAAAAGTGAATTTACTGTTTTCAAAGAGTTTTATTGACCAAAGCATTCCTTATTTGAAACTGCTAAGTGCTAAGTGACTTGTTCTCTTTGAGAGGTACTATAAAAGGTATAAAATTACCTGAGTACTGTCAGAGTGATCCTGTATGATTATTGATTATGCGTTTCAAACAAGGACTCGTCAAACAGGCAGGGCATTTTAAACAAGGTTCAAAGAACATTTGCCTAAAGCAATTAATCATCTAACGTGCAATTTTGCTGCACATCTTGTAAATGAAAACCATAATTACAGTGATTTCAACACAAAACTAACCCCACTACATTTCTGCAATAAAGGCAACGTTATGGACGCTCTAGAGGAAGTCAACATTTATAAAACAACAAAAATTTAACCTAACACATTATTAAGCGACAAAATCAATTTCCAGTCTAACGCTTTTTACGATACTGTAATAAAGAACCAAGAACAGCTGATGAACAAGGAGCCAAGAGGTACTTCGAACACCCGACCATCTTCTGCATCGCAGTCCTGACCTTCACCTGCAACTTGTGCACGCAGTTGGACATTATAAGGTTTTGTCGGTAGGCCTATTCGTTTTTGTATTGTAAATGTCTACGTTTGTATATAGTATGTGTCTGTGTTTCTTATTTAAACTTTTGATGACCTGTTCGAAGTGACAGTGTAATAAATTTTCTTGTACAAGATCTGAAGATGAGGACTTAAGTCATAGAAACGTGTAATCCATTAGGATCATACAGGATCACTCTGGCAGTACTCAGGTAATTTTATACCTCGTATAGTTCGGTCAGTTATCCAGAGATAAAACAACTCAAATATGAAGTTTTTAAAGTATTTCGAGCTTCTCCTTTCTTGAAAGCGCAATAAAAAGTGGTCGTTTGTCAAAATCAATCTAGAATTGTAACAAAGTTAAGTAGATTATTCTCAAAATATTTGTAGAGTTCTAGTTTTAATCGTTTTAAATCTAAGGCTCTCTTTCAACGTTCATAGCCCCTCTAACTGTAATGCGTGAAATGTACTAAAATTCTTCAATGTCACCCTCTTGAATTATTTGTGGCCATTATGGTAGTAATAAAATTATTTCCGACAAAAATAATAACCTGGTATACCCCCTAACCTCATCATCATGATTACATGTAAAAAAGGAAAGAGAAATCACACACATTTTTTTATAAAATAAATCCATTATTTACACAAATAAACCCTACAAGTGTTACATTACGTGTAGAGTCTGACGGTGGAGTCAGCCCCAGAGGTGAACACCCAGGGTTGTGACGGGTGAAACATGACGTCCAACACACCAAAGTCATTGGTGCGAGCGTGGTTACTCAACCTCTTCAGTGGAACTATCAGTGCATTCTGGAGGAGATCACTGCAATGGAAAATACAGTATGAGGTTCATGGGGTTTGTTGTTTCTTATATCAGGATTTGACCTCAAGAAATCTTTGAATTTCGTACGTGAACAAAATAAACAGCAGATATGGTTCAGTTAGGTTTTAGCATTGACTTTTGGACACCAAAGTAGACATCTTATTGATACGATCAATAAGATTCAGCTGTTGAGGATGTTTTATAAAAAAAGAACATAATTTGTCGCTTGCAAGACAAACAAACCCATTAAACCCCATTATGTATGTGGTAAGTACATAGGCCAATCATATACTTACGCCCCTTTGTCTTGCAAGCGTTGAGTTGAATGAGCCAGTCACAGAATGTGCTAGTGTATAAAATAGTTTACCTCAAGTCTAGTTACTGACACAGTTACTGAAATTGTATAACGCCATTCTGGTGCAACATGTTGTACTCCTGAATAAAGATTATATGACTATGACTATGACAGTTGATGGGTCATAATGAGTCACAAAAGGTCCGGTTCACACGAGCAACTAAACTAGCAAGTAGGCTGTGACTAGATCGCAGGCGCGACTTTGCAGACCACAAAATCACATGAGGCGGTTCACATGAACATACGGCAGCTAAGATCAAGTTGTGTGTCTAAAATAGGTTAGAACTATCTATGATGAAGTTTTTTAACCCTGCATCTGGCAGCTACAAATCTCTGTACTGGTAGGCCATGTTTTACTGTACATACATAGGTTACTTTAGAGGTGTATAAATTGTGTTCTACCATAGAAAAGTTTATACTATTTGATATTTTATTTTTCAGGTCATTACAAGAAACATATTTAAACCATTGACAGATCCCCAAAAAAATGTTCGTAGAACTGATTACTTATAAGAAAAAAAGGAAAAAATGGGCCTGTAACATTTTTTTTAAAGTAGGTATAGGCTTGGGAAAAATACAAAAGATTTTTTTATTAGAAATCCAAGATATACAAAACTTTTAGAAAATGATTCTTTACATTAAAAAAGTAAAAAAGTCATATTTATTATTATTTATATGTCAAAAATAGAAGAAAGAATGTTATGTAAACCATTAAACTTTCAAAATAATGTTGCATCACGGTAACTTGTACACTATATCAAAATAAACGTTAGAATCTCCTTTGTAAAATAATATAACAATAAAGCAATATCTAATACAGTAATGTTTTTTGTTGAAACTTAACAGTTAAAGAAATTGATGCTCAAATGACTAGTGACTAGTTGTTTGCCAGTAGGTGAACTAGTTTTAGCGACTAGTCAATAGTCGTTTGCCAGATGCAGGGTTTATTAGTAACTCTTGCGTCCGGTTCTCAGTGATTTACTAAGGTATTCATAAATCTTGAAAGATATAATACTTTTGACTACTAGCCAGTTTCCCAATAAAAATTAACTTGACTTTAGCTAGTGACAGAGGTTTATCTGTTTTCCAGCTTAGTCCCATAAGTGTCGGTTATGAAAGGCTGAACTATGTATGTACTTCACTTTACAAATACTACACAATTTTTCATAAAAACTATTGAAGTTAGCACTACAATAGAACTTCAATCATCCAAATTCCAACTATCAAATTTTAAAAACCTAAAACTACAGTAGGATGAATCGTTATCAAGGAGGCCAGAAGCCATTATCATGGCAATATCCCAATCATCTCTCACGGTCACGGAAACATCATCATTGTCTCTCGCTGCCACAGAATCAAAATCTCTCTCTCGCTGTTATGGAAACATGATCATAGTCTTCTGTGATTGCAGAAAGAGCTTGAATGTCTCCTGCGGTCTTGTAGACATCATGATCACGTTCCGCAATTGCAGCAAAAGGCATCATCAATGTCTTTCACCATCTCAGCGAAATCTTAAACATTTGTCGCTGTCTGATAGACTTCATCATTGTTGTAGTGGTTTAAATACATGTATTTTACGTAATCCAAATGGTTGCGGTAGCAACTAATTTCGGTTCAACACTGGAACCATCATCAGGCTTCACAAGGACATTGTCGCTTCCTGAGAAGGTCGTCACAGTTTACACAAAAAATTACAAAATATCAAAACATTAAGAACACAACACGCATTACTAGATACGACACAACCGGCGGGAGTTTACGTCTAGACTGTCATCATTGTCGTTTCGCAATTGCAGCGAAAGTGTGAATTTTTTAATCGCAATATCTTTGCAAAAATGTAAGGATAAATTAAATAAGTTTACCCCGAATTTTGTAAAAAGAATCCAACTATCCTAATGTTTGATTATGCGAATATGGTACGGTTCTAATCGATTCGGATGATTGGAGTTCTCCTAGAACAATGCAAACTCAAACTCACTTGTAGACCATGCCATGTGAAATGATAAGGCTTGTATCGTCAGATCCAGATGCAAACAATGGATATGTCCTGTGATAAGCCACACTCCTCACTGCAGTACTGTGAAGCCTTAGAGTCTTGTATGGTTTGGTGGAGAGATCCAGGTCAAACCACAACACCTTGCAGTCATACGTGCCTACCAGCAGATTGTCACCTCCTAGTAACACAAAACTGTTATAAATGTGCACATAGATACATATAGGATACAGGGAATAAAGCACTACTCATTGTTTTTACCCACTCATGTTCATACAAATAAAAGGTGAAGAAGTACATGTTGTACTGCCGATGATCATTTTTGGTTAAGCAACCATGGTTTTAAAACCAATTAGTTACAAAAGGGTTTGTGGCGCGAGGAGAGGATCAGACAAATGAGCGGGACTTTTCATATCACAATCGGATAACAGCATGTGATTAGTTAGATTCACCATCTGCCAGCTTCACTTAGAGATGACAAGTTTTGCAACAATTCAACAAAATAATATTGCACATGAGTCATAATTCAATAGATGTTCTAACCACTCTTGGCATAGATAAAAAGTCTAAGAGTACTTGATTAAAAAAATACAGGGATCAATTCAGAATCAACAGAACTATTAATGGGTACGAAGATTTTTACCTTATTCTTATTAATGTAATTTGTCATCAGTGTTAACTACGCAAATGTCAGTCAATTATATTACTTATGACTTTCAATTATATTAATTATGACTTTCATTTAATCAATTATCAAGTATAAAATGTCACATAAAACTCACCTGGATGTATAGACATGCTTGAAATCCAACGGGAGTTTGAGTACAATTTCTTCACCATTTCTTGTTTGACAACATCGTACACTCTGACATTGTGCTGAGTCTGAAATTTTCATAAAGACATGATTTACTTACAAACATTAAAGACATAAACATCAGGCTGAAGATAAATATTGTTTAAAAAATAATATATAGTAAGTAAAGACAAAAACTCTCAAAATTGGCTCTTATTACAGATAAACTACTCTTAAAATAGAAATACTTGTACAATATGTTTAAACACTCTAATTCATTAATTTATTTGACAATTATTGGTTAACTATTCTCAGAATGGCTTAGGAACTTTTGTTATAGTTTGAAGACCAAAAGTCACAAACATAACTAAGAAATTAAGGATATACAACTAACTCACCTAAAGAAAGAGTCCCAGGAAGATAAAAGAACACAAAAAGTAACTGAAAAAGGGGCTGATATTTTGCCCCTTTCAGGAATTTCTTCAGGGGTAGAACGACCAGATTCTACCTCCGAAGAAGCTCTTGAAAGGGGCGAATGATCAGTCTGTGTTACTTTTTTGTGTACATTTAACTTCCTGGGACTCTTTCTTCAGGTGAGTTAGTTGTGTATTCTCCCTTTCCCCTTAATAAGTTCTTAAAGGCAAGTTGTTTTCTCTAAAAAAAAAAAATTATATTTTGTCCTAGCCTAATGTACCTTTCTTTCTGGAAATTATTTGAACATTTCTAACCTGCTCTCTTAAGAGGTCCTGAATTCTCAATGTATTATATTTATTTGTTAAGTACTCTTACCATTGGTTAAGTAACCACAACTTACTGCCACAAAGAAGTAAGGCCTGACAGGGTGGAAGAGTACACACTGGACCCTACCCTTGGGTCTACTGAAGGGCAACATTGATCTTCTCTTGGACAGTTGATGAATCAACACGGATCTGTTCTCACCCTCGGGCATCACTGTAGCGAAGTAGTCACCTCGTCCATGCCAGGTTACCTGGTAACGCCATGAGTAAAAGAACAAAAACTTTAGCAAATTATTTTTTTCAAACTAGATGAACTCATCATGTTTTTGTTTATCTACAGCGCAACGCCATTTAATTCTGTTCGAATATGTGAGTGAACAGTCCTACCTCTAGTCCTCCAAAACTGAAGGTTTCCCTTTTGATCCAAAATTCTCAGAGGTAGGTTTTGGTCCCGGATGCCATATGTCCAGGGGTAGAACCGTTCCCATATAAAATGTTAAAAAATACAAACGAAATAGAAACATCACTTACTAAGCCCAAACACAAAAAAACAATATTTTTTTGGGAAAAAGGTGAAAATTAGTGAGAATCAGATCATTTCACCAAGAATTAACTTTTCACCTTCCAAATTTGATAATTTGTTCATGTTTAACCCACTTATCTGCACGAGCTGTGATGTACCATTAACCGGAGTATACATCACAAGTTGTATCCATTTTGTTTCGTTTGTCTAAATTATCTTTCTCCTTAGTTTTGGATACTATAAAATTTAATAGAGGCCATATTCACAATTGGTTTTCCTTTTCAGTTTGGGTTGGATCACAAATTGATGAATTTGACAAGAATCAGTAGATTAACGTCAGCACACTCTGAGGGACTAACATGGGAATGGAATGCCTACACTTCTCCATAGTCAAAAGGTTGAACGGACCTGTTTGATCTCCCGGAAGTGATTGGCGATAACTCTGATACCTCGGTCCCATTCCTCCCCCTCTGCTTGCTGCCATTGGACTGCTACGGCTACTCTCTCAGGAACTATACAAAATACAAAAAATGTTAGTGGTCAAGGTCCTGCTGGCTTGAGAGACCTGTACCATATACATTGGACCTACAGCCGAACCTAAACTCCAAACCAACGGAGCTAAACTACGCCATTGGACTGCTTTACAGTGAATTTTGTCACTCCCTAGTAAAATCAGTGACATTTTGTAAATACAGGGTGTTGAAAATGTCTGGAACCAACATTATATCTGGTGAGTGGTTAAAGAAAAACAACTGATATTTTGTGTACAGATATACTATGGTTTTACCTATCTTTTGGTGCCTTATGAAATTTTTTACCACTTATAGGGAACGTCCTGTGGAGGATGCAGTAAAAAGTTTTAATGGAAGCCTATGGTAAATGATACATCATTTTAAAGGCCATTTTTTTCTGAGTAAGGAGCCGCAAGTTTCATCTCAAAAGGACCACCCTAGCAAAAATGACGACTGTTTGAAATTTAAAAACCCACTTATAGGGAACGTCCTGTGGAGGATGCAGTAAAAAGCTTTAATGGAAGCCTATGGTAAATGATACATCATTTTAAAGGCCATTTTTTTCTGAGTAAGGAGCCGCAAGTTTCATCTCAAAAGGACCACCCTAGCGAAAATGGCGACTGTTTGAAGTTTTTGAAAATAATTGAAAGCTTAATTGGTATTTCTGTTAAAAATACGTTTAGTAAAACAACACAAACAATTTAGTTACATGTTTTTTTTCAGTAATTTTTTAGTTCACCACGTGATAAACTACTGTACTTCATAACTGGCTTGTAATAGCTTTTAAAGGAAACAAATACGGACCATTTAAATAGCAATGTTTTTAAATTTCAAACAGTCGCCATTTTTGCTAGGGTGGACCTTTTGAGATGAAACTTGTGGCTCCTTACTCAGAAAAAAATGGCCTTTAAAATGATGTATCATTTACCATAGGCTTCCATTAAAACTTTTTACTGCATCCTCCACAGGACGTTCCCTATAAGTGGTAAAAAATTTCATAAGGCACCAAAAGATAGGTAAAACCATAGTATATCCGTACACAAAATATCAGTTGTTTTTCTTTAACCACTCACCAGATATAATGTTGGTTCCAGACATTTTCAACACCCTGTATAGTCACCCCAAGTAAAATCCATGACTAAGTGAATTTGCACTAAGTAAAATCAATGACCTTTGGTGAATTCCCTCATACTCCCCTGTAAGAAAAACGAATTTAGGCTTATTTCGACACACCACCGTAATTCATAAATTTGAAATGTTTAACCTTTACAGTGAATTTAGTAAATCACTAGAACAAATCAAAGGCTTCTCAGTATTTTTAACATCCGGTAGAGACACTTTGATTATTTCCTACCTTGCCCATCTTGTACTGGAGGTTCACTGAGGACGGAGTCTGTTTTCTCAATGACTAGAGAATCTCCGACGCCAGGGTTGATTAGAAGACATTTACGATCAGCTGCTACTGCTATGAGAGGCAGAGCAGGGTTGGGACACCAGGCTACACTACGCACTGTCCCTCCTACTGGAATAGTCTTTAGACACCTAGCTGTGGATATCTCCCACACTGTAACATATCAGGAGACATTTACAATCAGCTGCTACTGCTATGAGAGACAGAGCAGGGTTGGGACACCAGGCTACACTACGCACTGTCCCTCCTACAGGGATAGTCTTTAGACACCTAGCTGTGGATATCTCCCACACTGTAACATATCAGGAGACATTTACAATCAGCTGCTACTGCTATGAGAGACAGAGCAGGGTTGGGACACCAGGCTACACTACGCACTGTCCCTCCTACTGGGATAGTCTTTAGACACCTAGCTGTGGATATCTCCCACACTGTAACATATCAGGAGACATTTACAATCAGCTGCTACTGCTATGAGAGACAGAGCAGGGTTGGGACACCAGGCTACACTTCGCACTGTCCCTCCTACTGGGATAGTCTTTACACACCTGGCTGTGGATATTTCCCACACTGTAACATATCAGGAGACATTTACAATCAGCTGCTACTGCTATGAGAGACAGAGCAGGGTTGGGACACCAGGCTACACTATGCACTGTCCCTCCTACTGGAATAGTCTTTAGACACCTAGCTGTGGATATCTCCCACACTGTAACATATCAGGAGACATTTACAATCAGCTGCTACTGCTATGAGAGACAGAGCAGGGTTGGGACACCAGGCTACACTATGCACTGTCCCTCCTACTGGGATAGTCTTTAGACACCTGGCTGTGGATATCTCCCACACTGTAACATATCAGGAGACATTTACAATCAGCTGCTACTGCTATGAGAGACAGAGCAGGGTTGGGACACCAGGCTACACTATGCACTGTCCCTCCTACTGGAATAGTCTTTAGACACCTAGCTGTGGATATCTCCCACACTGTAACATATCAGGAGACATTTACAATCAGCTGCTACTGCTATGAGAGACAGAGCAGGGTTGGGACACCAGGCTACACTACGCACTGTCCCTCCTACTGGGATAGTCTTTAGACACCTGGCTGTGGATATCTCCGACACTGTAACATATCAGGAGACATTTACAATCAGCTGCTACTGCTATGAGAGACAGAGCAGGGTTGGGACACCAGGCTACACTACGCACTGTCCCTCCTACTGGGATAGTCTTTAGACACCTGGCTGTGGATATCTCCCACACTGTAACATATCAGGAGACATTTACAATCAGCTGCTACTGCTATGAGAGACAGAGCAGGGTTGGGACACCAGGCTACACTATGCACTGTCCCTCCTACTGGAATAGTCTTTAGACACCTAGCTGTGGATATCTCCCACACTGTAACATATCAGGAGACATTTACAATCAGCTGCTACTGCTATGAGAGACAGAGCAGGGTTGGGACACCAGGCTACACTTCGCACTGTCCCTCCTACTGGGATAGTCTTTACACACCTGGCTGTGGATATCTCCCACACTGTAACATATCAGGAGACATTTACAATCAGCTGCTACTGCTATGAGAGACAGAGCAGGGTTGGGACACCATGCTACACTATGCACTGTCCCTCCTACTGGGATAGTCTTTAGACACCTGGCTGTGGATATCTCCCACACTGTAACATATCAGGAGACATTTACAATCAGCTGCTACTGCTATGAGGGACAGAGCAGGGTTGGGACACCAGGCTACACTACGTACTGTCCCTCCTACTGGGATAGTCTTTAGACACCTGGCTGTGGATATCTCCGACACTGTAACATATCAGGAGACATTTACAATCAGCTGCTACTGCTACGAGAGACAGAGCAGGGTTGGGACACCAGGCTACACTACGCACTGTCCCTCCTACTGGGAAAGTCTTTAGACACCTGGCTGTGGATATCTCCCACACTGTAACATATCAGGAGACATTTACAATCAGCTGCTACTGCTACGAGAGACAGAGCAGGGTTGGGACACCAGGCTACACTATGCACTGTCCCTCCTACTGGAATAGTCTTTAGACACCTAGCTGTGGATATCTCCCACACTGTAACATATCAGGAGACATTTACAATCAGCTGCTACTGCTATGAGAGACAGAGCAGGGTTGGGACACCAGGCTACACTACGCACTGTCCCTCCTACTGGGATAGTCTTTAGACACCTGGCTGTTGATATCTCCCACACTGTAACATATCAGGAGACATTTACAATCAGCTGCTACTGCTATGAGAGACAGCGCAGGGTTGGGACACCAGGCTACACTACGCACTCTCCCTCCTACTGGGATAGTCTTTAGACACCTGGCTGTGGATATCTCCCACACTGTAACATATCAGGAGACATTTACAATCAGCTGCTACTGCTATGTGAGACAGAGCAGGGTTGGGACACCAGGCTACACTACGCACTGTCCCTCCTACTGGGATAGTCTTTAGACACCTAGCTGTGGATATCTCCCACACTGTAACATATCAGGAGACATTTACAATCAGCTGCTACTGCTATGAGAGGCAGAGCAGGGTTGGGACACCAGGCTACACTACGCACTGTCCCTCCTACTGGGATAGTCTTTAGACACCTGGCTGTTGATATCTCCCACACTGTAACATATCAGGACTTAAATATCTTGTCTCTACTAAAATATGTCTTCTGCAGCCTCATTTTGAGGTTGACTCAACACTTAAATGTAGGACGTTGTAACTCATAAAACAATAAATTACAAAAGTAGGAAGAAAATTTCTAATCCCATAGTGCACCAGATATTTTAATTACAATAACTTTGGTATCTGAACAAATATTTTTGGATGGTAAATAACCCATGAACAGCTGTTCAAAATAATCCAAGATGGCCGCTAGCCTCCTAGGACTCTTAAAAACCAAATATAATTAGCAAATGCCTAATAATTTGTTCCTTGTCCCACAAAAATCTTACCTTTGACAGTAAGATCGTCAGATCCTGACAGTAGATATTGTCCTTTAGGGTCAACAGACATGCATCTGACCATATCCGTGTGGCCTTGGTAGATCAAAGACATGACGTTGGGGAAGGGCTGAAGATCCTTGGGGTTGGGCAGTTGTGGCACCAAGTCTTCCGGTTCTATTGTCAGCTGAAAATACAAGAAAGTTAGTTAGTTGTCTATTGTCATATACTCACTATAGAGAATGAGTGGACAATGGGAGATTGTAATAACACAGCCTATGAGGGAATGCAAGGTTTTTAAAGCGCTACATTCAAAAATATTACTTGGGCTCTAGCCCGGGTTTGTTTTTTACGTTACTAGGCCTAGAGGTTATGGAATTATCACTTAGATCCATTGTTGATAGGTGGGTTTTGAACCCCGAACCTCGGGGATCGAAGTTTTGCTTACTACAACTAGACCCGCTCGGATTACCTTTTGATAGAATATTTAGGCTCTATTTGTGAAATATACTATTCAATGATTGCTTTTCAATCTGTCTTGATATTCTTTCCCACCTCACCTTCATCTTGATAGCTCGTGGACACAAATACAAGTCTATACATCGCATGAATCGTTCCCTGATGTATCTGTTGTAAGCAGGCACTTCTCGCAACGAGTTGTACTTCTGAGGAATAAAGTGCAGCTTCTTTTTTCCCAGTGACTTCTTTTCTCTGTTGAAGTATTTTAGCTGGAACAAATGACAAATCATTGAATTTTACTTGTTAATGAAATACATTTTTTGGGAAACTAGTCTTGAACTGAAAACCCCTAATAATGAATTTGGGTATATTTTTGTTCCCAAATTTGCTTGTAACTATGTTGGATGATAAAAGTAAATGTTAATTTTTAATATTTTGTTTTTGAGACCCTGATAACAATCTGCTAATTAAGAATGTCCATAAGCTAAAATCAGAGACTTTCATTGACTTCCAAGATCCCCAGTAAAATCAGGGGCTTTTCAGCAACTAGTGACCATCTTGTAAAATCGGCCAACTTTACTGACTTCTGTAATCCATCTAGTAAAACAAATGATTTTTTAGCAGCTTCGGCGAACTCGGTGCCTTTCCAGTAACAACCTAGTAAAACCGACTTCTGTGACCCCCTAGTGAAATAAGTGACTTTTCGATAATTTCCTTGACCCCTTAGTGAAATCAGTGACTTTTCAATTACTTCTGTGGCCACTTACTGAAATCAGTAGCTTTTCAATGACTTCTGTGACCCCCTAGCAAAATCAGTGACTTCAGTGACCTGATAATAAAATCAGTGACTCAGTCACTGACTCAGACACCAGTACCAGTCAGTTTTTATGACTTCAGTGACCAGTAGATTGCCTACCTCTTTCTCATTGAACAGATACTCCTCAGGTGGGTTATAAGACTCAGCGTGTCCGGGGAGTTGTCTCTTAGGTGCCGGGATGTGGCTGTGTATCCTCCTCATCTCCTCAGCCACCTCGTCACTCTGCCACAACATGTAGAACTTGGGACCGGCCAACTCCTTCTCTCGTTTCTCTCTCTTCAGCATCTGCGGAAATTACATGATTCAATGTTTTAAAACTTGTTTTTAATACATCTTTAACACTATTGGCATTCCTAATGGATTTTTTAAAACGATTAAACCTATGATCTTGAACATTCCAACTTCGAAACCTTTGGTTAGAGCACCATCCTAGAAAAAACAGAAGATTTTAATGGTTTGAAATTGTACCAAGCTATCCTTAGTTGGGCTTTCAATCAGTGCCATATTTCCCTAAGACAGCTAAAGGGGGCTGCAGCGTTTAGTACAAAACATTTTTTTTTTAACAATAATATTATTTGTATAATTATTCGTAATCGAAAAGTCCAATAAAAGACATGTGGTTAATATGTGTTGATTTTTTTATTAGAGCACTTAAGACTGGGTTACCAATACAATTTAGGATAGGGAAAGAATTCTGCAAGTTTTTTGGTAAGTTCTGAGATAAACCATTATTAAAGGTTTTGATACCCAAAGTATCATAAAGCACACTTTTAAAAATACTTTTGTAATGATGAGTTCTAAATAGCAAGTTATCTCTGATGCTTTGTCTGCAAAAATTATAATTACTGTCAACATGGTCATTTTAACCATCCAGAATTTTAATACACACTAGGGCCTACATGCGATAGGGGTTACATGCGATAGGGGGGTTACATGCCATTATCTCGTAGGGTCTAATATTTTGTTTTTATGGCTAAACCATAGGCGTAACCCAAAGGCTTAGGTTGAGTTGAACTATAACTTGACGGTCAAGTTGGATTGGTTTAAAGAAAGATTCCAGAAAGGGTAGTATCCAAGATATTTCAATTTATAAATTAGGAGCCTATAGATAGACGTTGAAATTTGTAATATAATTGGTACAAGAAAGATAAGTGTGCCAAAAAGGGCGAAACTTGAAGAAAAATCACTCACATTACTGAATGATGAATTCACAGTTCTGATAATTATTCACAATGTAACATTATTCAGATGAGGGAATGAGTGCAGTATGAGAAACCAACGGTATTAAAGGACTAGCCTATTAAGTTTATTAACTGACTACCAAGAGTTAACTATATTTTGAAACAACTTAACAATTACCTTTGATGACTTCATCCATCCCATTTTAAGAGCATGGACATACTTTGATACTTTTTCTTTCTCACTCCGGCTGGGTAAAAACGACCGTTTGTGATCAGGAAACTTCCTCACTGGCATCTTCATAACATCAGAAGTGAACCATTCAACCCATTCCTGTAATAAAAATATCAATATAGATTACATGTACCTATTCAGTCTAATTCAACATCCTTTACAATAGGTACTCCTTATTTTCTTTTTGCATCTGCTCTGCTTGTCCCCATATCTAGACCAACTGGTCTGTGTAGTGACAAAAAAAAATTGTTATATACCGAACCATGAGAGTACATACTATAGTTCGGCCGCTTAGAAAGCGACCTCCTCCAACATTGGTTTAGCATTAGCGCGCAGGTCGTTTTATAAGCGGCCGACCTATACCGAGCTATTGTGTTCAGTAGGCCAATTAGTGCAATGTTGGAAGGAACTGCAATGTTGCTCATTTATAGACAAACAGTGGCGGTATTATGATAAGCTAATGATAGCACAACAAAATTAGAAGAAAAATTTACTTTAACTTTTAAATATTATTTTTCATTTGTGAGTTTGAAATGTAGGCTATCACTCGGACAAAAAATTTAAGTAAATTTCAAAAGCAAATCTAACTAATAAGTTTTCAGGTACAGGTACGCCTATGTGTCACGTTTGGATGTAGGCTACATTAGTAAAATACTAATTGTACTTCCTTTTTACTCAAAACTAGTAAAATTTCATTTTTGAGGTGTCTTAAGTGTGTAACTTAAGTCTAAGTTACTCTTTAAACTCACAGAAGCGCTAGCCAAGACAATTAGTTGTATGGCCATGGAATAGGTTTTTTTTTTGTCTGTGTGTGTGTTTTGGAGGCATTCTGATGACCTCCTAGGAACGACAACTTAACACCTTGACAACGGTACCGTAAGTGTGTCAAAACAGGTTGGCATTCTGACGACAAAGGATTACTTTGGTAACCGGATATTTAACCTCTATGGGATATTTTAATTTAAAATATGCTTTTCTAAAAAAAATATTTAATTGTTGCACTAAACAAACCCCTGCTGAGACAGTAACTTTTTTAATATACCTACTTGGGTTTGAATCTGAATACAAACATGAAAATTTAATTCATAATAAGTTTGAATGGGGTTAAAATAGTCTTGGCAAAAATATACTGTAACACTTACAGGATACTCTTCAAATTCAGGATCAGGCACTTTGTGAGACAACATTCTCTGGATTAACTCAATGTCCTTGTCACTGAGAACAACGTCCTGGCCTGTCTGCGCATCAACAACTGTCCTCCTGCAAATTGACAAATTTATCAGAGGATGTCCAAACACAAGCACACACTAACTTGTGAATACAATCAACCACAAAACACAATGGGTTAACAACAATTGCTGAACATTTAATTGTGAGCGATACTTGTTAGACGTATGAAAACTAAATTATGTTTGGTGTAAATACACACACAGTAAATAAATGCAATAGCAAATGTGTGATTTAAGTTGCAATTTCCAAAGAATTTACCCTTTCTGTTAACCTAGAACCGGTTGGCCTAGAAGTCAACCGTTTGTTTTTAAGGTACCTCTCCTACGGTACCGAGGTTTTACAGACATATCAACTTTTCATGAGTAGCACATCTAGACCAAGATAGTATTCAAACTTCAATGCTATCCCCTGATCAGGAAGTGAAGACCTCTCAGCCATTGATGAGACTTAGCTGTCTACTAGGCTACTCTAACAACACTGAACGAAAACCCCAAGCTTAGTAGTTCCAAATTTGACTATCAAGTTGTAAGTAGGCCTACTCAAATATATACAGTAGTTGTAGGTTAAAGTTTGGTGAGTACATTAAAGTAATTCACGGTTTGAGTTGCCTCATTCAACACCTAGAAGCATCGGTCCACCCAAATGTTGGTCACTATGGTTATGTTGTGTCCAACCAAAATATACCATCCTTTGGAGCTCAAAGGGTTAATTATATTTCCTTCAGTGAATATACTTCTTAATAAACTATTCACACAAAACAAAATACTCTTCATCTATACCTCCAACATGTTACAAATATTGCTCCAAGAGTATTCTCTTGATAACTTGACAACTTGATAACCGAGATATGACTTAAAATAAAACTGTCAAGTCTAAGCGAAGCTACACTGATCATAAGTTAAACACAACTTACCAAAAGTTAGGATCCTCTGCTTGTTTTAAAAAGTAATCGAGTTGGTCTCCTTTTTCGGGTTTTAAAATCTTCTTTCCGTCCCAATCATAGCCGAGATGCCGATACTCGTCATACCATTCTCTGGGTACGTTTCCAATGGTATTTCGGATGTCCTGCATAAACAAGATTATTTTAAACTGCTCAAATGATTACACAGTTCTAAAACAATAATTTTAATTTAACATTTAACTATTACCTGGTTAAAGCAGTAGCATGCTTTAGAATGAATATTGATAATCAATAGTTTAACGATAATCTGACAAGGGACCAAGGGAGTTTAATACTAATCAAAATGTCAGATTGACAAGAAATACGTTTTTTTTTTTAAGCATGATCAGGATAAAGTTTGACCATTATTGTTTAATGCAGAAGGCCCATAAATAACTATTATGAATTTAGGAAAGTATAAAAACACTATGAAGCTAACATAGTTCATTCAACTGTGTTCTATTTTTATGTTAGATTGTCTTTAGCTGGTCCGTATCAGGGGAAGTCTACCGTCCTAGTAACTAAAATCAATGGCGATCTAAATTATATGAATGAGTCATTCCACGTCAAATCACCCAGGCCATGAAACCAACCATCTCAGAATTTGATGAAACTTTGTGAAAATGATCATTCCTATGACCTAAGTAAAAATACAAAAAATTGCGAAGATACTGCTGATACTTTTTTATATTAATTTTTTTGCAATACACCATTTTGTCCATTTTAGGCCTCGGAATCAACAACTTCAGATGAAAATGAAAACGCTGAACTAGTGTTCATGCATCCGTGGACATGGTCCTAGTAAATAATTTTACTAGCCACAAAGAGAAGATTCCTGTTTTATCCCTTTTGATAAGATTTTATGTTCAGTTGGTGACCCACAAACAAGTTCTACAGGTAGAACTTTAACATTTCAACCAAAGATTTAGAGCTGGCTGAATCTAACCTGAACAAATGGCGTACTAGTCAGGAATGACTTAGAAATTCTGCCAAATCAAAAAAAAAACTTTGTATACGTGTAATCTCTCATCATAAAATTTACTGAAATTGTAGGCCTAAATTAGCCAATAATAAAGTAACATTCAACTATTTTGTTACAACCATTTCAAGTTATAGGCCTCACCGCTCAAAAACTTTAAGTTTTAAATTTGTTTAAGGAAATATCAAGTAGGGTAATCTTCAAAAATGTAATTTAATATTGTCAAAGAACTACAGGACTTAGGTAAATTAAGCTTTCATAACTGCAAACTCTTGTTTCAAGTATTTTTTTTATAAGATACAAGATAGGTATATTTTACTAAATTTTTAGCATTAATTAATATTAAAATAAAAACTTTTTCCCTATATCTGAACAAAGAAACCCACTACCGGTAATATCTATATATATTTTAAAACAAGTCATAGCTTAAGGAAAATTATGCAAAAAAATATTGTTCTAGCTGGTTGGAGAAAAAAGATATAGGCTAGCGGTTTTTCACAATCCATGTTGGTTAAATTTGAAAAAATTAAATTGAAATATATAATCCCCAAAGCAGAACAACGAGCGACGCTGCGACATTGTCGCGGACACGAAACGCCGAGAAACGCGGGCCTGCGGACACATTTACGGAGTCATAACGACGATCGCGCCATGGCCGCGATTATTGGACCGACGATCGCACCGTGACCGCGAGTCATAACGACGATCACGCCGTGACCGCGAGTCATACCGACGATCGTGCCGTGACCGCGGAGTCCTACCGACGATCACGCTGTGACCACGAGTCATACCAACGATCACGCCGTGACCGCGAGTCATACCGACGATCGCGCCGTGACCGCGGAGTCCTACCGACGATCGCGCCGTGACCGCAGAGTCCTACCGACGATCGCGCCGTGACCGCGGAGTCATACTGACGATCATGCCGTGATGGCGGAGTCATGCTGACGATCGAGCCGTGACCGCGAGTCATACCGACGATCGCGCCGTGACCGCGAGTCATGACGACGATCGCACCGTGACCGTGGAGTCATACCGACGATAACCCCGTGACCGGGGAGTCATACCGACGATCGCGCCGTGACCGTGGAGTCATACCGACGATAACCCCGTGACCGCGGAGTCATACCGACGATCGCGCCGTGACCGCAGAGTCCTACCGACGATCGCGCCGTGACCGCAGAGTCCTACCGACGATCGCGCCGTGATGGCGGAGTCATGCTGACGATCGAGCCGTGACCGCGAGTCATACCGACGATCACGCCGTGACCGCGAGTCATGACGACGATCGCACCGTGACCGTGGAGTCATACCGACGATAACCCCGTGACCGCGGAGTCATACCGACGATCGCGCCGTGACCGCGGAGTCATACCGACGATCGCGCCGTGACCGCGAGTCATGACGACGATCGCGCCGTGACCGCGAGTCATGACGACGATCGCGCCGTGACCGCGAGTCATGACGACGATCGCGCCGTGACCGTGAGTTCTACAGACGATCACCCCGTGACCCGCGAGTCACAAGTTTCTATAGGTACCTGTAAATTGTTACCCATTTTTTGGTTTTTATAGATCAGTACCAAAAATGGTAAAAATTGATTTTGTATGTCTTTTTTGGTAACTGCAATACAGTACTTTTTTTATGCACAGAAAAAAATCCTGTCCCATCCCGTCCCGAAAATCGGGAAGGAAATAAAAATCCCGTCCGGTCCCGTCCCGAACTAAAATTTCAATCCTGTCTATCCCTAGTGTGTTTATATAAAGAAACTATAGTACATTTAAAGTTTTACTTCTGAAGACCTTGTTAACACTTGTTAAGGTATGTGTATATATATACGTATTTAAAAAAAAAAGTTAATTTAAATAACCTGATTATGCCTACCCCTTAATAGTTTTTTTAGTTTTTTGTTTTAAAAGTAGGCTATACAAGTTATTGAAATTTACTTATTTTATTTAACTATATTACTAGTAGCCCTAAAGAGTGAATATATATATATATATATACCGGTATATAAGTCATTATTTAGCTTTTTAGTTTTAGCGCTTGCGGACACATTTTGAGGTTTTCACAGGCCGTTGCAGACACGTAGGAACCATTCTGCTTTGGGGTAATAATTCTTATAAATTTGTTATATAGGCCTACTCTAGAGTGAGCTATATATAGGGCTAGTTTTTTTTATGTTCCAAGACATAGGACACAAAAATTGCCTTAAAAATTTGAAAGTGTTAGGACTTATTAGGACCTATCTTAAATGAAAGGACAAAATGGCGTATCGCAAAAAAAATAATAGGCCTATAAAAAAAGTATCCAGCCATATCTTCAACATTTTTTTGTATTTTTAATCAGGAATAAACATTTTAACAAAGTTTCATTAAATTCTGAGATGGTGGGTTTCATAACAACGTAAATTTTTTGGGTAATTTGACGTGGAATGACTCGAATGTCAATTTTTGTTATCCTCTTTTATCTTAACCATAAAATAGAATCCAACAATTAACTTACCTACAAATTAAAGAAAACATCAAGTGACTTACTTCTTCATCAGAGGTATCACCTTCCTCGTATTCATTCTCTGTTTTGGTTTTTTCATCTATAGTTGTATTATTTGCTTCCTTTACCACGTTCTCAATGTGAATTTTTTCAATGGAATCAGTTTTTTCTTTACTGTTGTTCATCTTAAGTGACTTTGCGTGATCTTTAATAATTGTGGGAACTTTCTTTTTGTTCTTTGAATCTTTCTCACTCTTGTTGTTTTCATCATTATCAGATTCCCATTCAAGCTCATCACTTACGGCCGTTCCGGAATCGCTTTCTGCATCACTGTTTTCATCTTCAGAAACTGATTCCTCCTCTTCTTCGACTGATGATTCTTCATCTTCTTCGTTTTCTTGTTCACTATCATCTTCAAACTCTAACCCTTCATCATCTGAGCTGTCGTCTTCATTGGAGTATTCAGCAATTTCTCCCAATTGATTGTCCTAAACAGCAGATCAAGCATTAGAAATGAATTACTAATCTACACCAAATTACAAAACACTAGGCCTACATTGATTATTTAAGCAGACATCTTTGATTTAGCATCCTCTTTTATTCATTCATTTAGCATAAAATACATAGGAAAAAAGTATAGCCTACATAAAATACGGAAATGAAGCAATCAACGAGCAACAATGGCACGGCCATAGGTTGCAAATAAATATGGTAGCTCCTTAACCCTGAAGAGCGCGCGCCTACCGTCAAAACACGAGAACGCACGTGGGGTAATTTTTTACCCCATTGTGTTTTTTTAGGATTTTAATTATAAAACAACATAATAGGCTACTTGATTAAAATATACTTAAACTTTGAATTTAAATACCAAAACACAAATAAATGATATTTTAAACCTTCAATTATCTTTAAAAAGTCTGGTTTTCACACGTAAAAACAGTCCTTATAATATATTAAATAGGTTACATAACTTATAATTCTGACAAACAGCTCGTTTTAATTGAAGGTCGTTTACATGTTTCGGCTTGTATCGGCCATTGTCAAAACGTCGCAGTTGGATGGTGAAATCATTGTCTTATTGAGTCTGCATCCTGACCTTGACAACGGTGTGCGTGCGTCCTGCCCGTGTATTTTATGTAATAAGCCTATTTAAAGTATTATTCGTTTCAAATGATTTTGTCCCGTCCGTGTGTATGTGTTTGTGTATATACTTTTAGTAGAAAACAATGACAAGGATTTCACCATCCAACTGCGACGTTTTAACAATGGCCGATACAAGCCGAAACATGTAAACGACCTTCAATTAAAACGAGCTGTTTGTCGGATTCATAAGGTACGGTATGTAACCTATTTATTATATTGAATACAACAGCTCAGGAGCTAGAATGGAAATGAATTTTAATTTTAATTAGTCCTTATAAGTTTCCACAAGATGGTCCTTACAAATACTTTTTCAACAATAGTTGCAGATTTTTGTCCTCTTTTGATCTTAACTTCATGGACAGAAGTCACAACTCAAACTTTTTCTTGCTAGTTGTCGTATATTTTCTCTCTGTTTATAACCTATTGCAAGTTTTATTCTGGCCTTCAAGTTGCAAGATAGCGTTACTATTTTACTTCTGGATTGATTGAAGATAAGGCAACAGCAATTCATGCCCTAGTGTCATATGCACAAATAACACACTCATGGACATCTTCCAACTAATACATAATTAGTAATTCGCCCAATTCACAAACTATGAATGTATAGCGTGAGCGCGCGCGTGGGGGACCGCCATGGACACACTACTGCTAATTGGCACCTCCAAGGTCAGACAGTGGACAAGTTGACTTGAAGGTATTGAGGGGGAGTAAGCAATAGAAAAGCTCGTAACGTGTCGGCTGCGAATTGAAAATAGACCTGGAGAAAAACTACCCCGCGCGCGCTCTCAAGGGTTAAAAGCAACAATAATAAATTGACATTTAAGTTAAACTAGCTTATGCAAAAGATTCACGATCACAATAACTTACAACAATTAACATCGAAATCAATCCCAAGTTTGAAACAAGCCAGAAGTATATTGGTAGGCCTATTATTCCCCAGGAATAGTAACACAAAAACACATTCGATATTAAAGCTTGAATAGAGGCGTCTATTTGGTATGTTATTTCTAAATGCAAACAGGGCTCCACCACCAGAATGTTTATTACATTGGTTGTTTAAGATCTATCGCATCGATGAATAGAGAAATTGGTGGGTATTACCAACGACTCCAGAGTCTAAAATGTCCGAAGAAAGGTTCGATTCACAGAGCAGAATAATGTCATTGACAGTAGAATTGTTTTTCAGCTCGATTAATTTAGATCGCAAGCCATGTTGTTGTTTTTTACATTTTAATATCAGGCTACCTAAGATATTTGTTTTTGGTAGTATAATAATGTTTTTATTGATTAAATATCAATAACTCAATTGGGTGTTTACATAGTGAATAAAACATGGATATTCATCAATAAGTTATGGTCTAAGACGTTATTCATCTGATAACTTCCTATAGGCCTATTGCAAGTTCTCTGCAGAACTGTTCACGATAACATTTCAAATTTTATTTATATAATCTTAGATGGTAACGGTCCCCGTTAAGAAATTTGATTCCATCTATGCCTATGTTCAATTTTCAATACTAAGTTAGGTGGGTCTATTTGTAAACGAAGTAACTTAGTAGAAAGAATCAAACTTTTGTTCGAGTTTAAGAAATCCAAGTTCACAATGATCCCTGAGATTTTGACCTATCAATGCATGTAAATATTAAATTACAAATAAAAACCAAATATGTCTTATAGGCCTAGCTTTAGTTAAGTTTTAACCAAAATCTTCCTACCTCCTCTGTATATTTTGCATTTTCAGTGGAATTAGATGGTCCTTGTATATTCTTACTTCCTCCACTTTTAACGTTTTCGCTATTGGCTAGTTTACGTTTCATTTTAACAACTAAATAACTATAATTAAAAATTAAACAAAGTTATTAGACCAAAGATAGTTGTCAAAAGTTTGAGGTTAACGAGGTTATGTACTTATGTTGGTTTGGTTGAGAACGAGAACAAGACGTGCCGACGTGCGACGTGCCCTCGTGTTGAGTTTTTTTTATTTTGCACCAATACCAATAGGAGTAGTTTTACTTCTTCTCTTTTTACATCAATGAAGCAATAATATGCGTATTTATTTTATTCAATGATTTTAGTACCGGAGAATAAAAAACTGCATATGTAAAACAATGTTAATTAGTAAAGTTGTGCCAGTGCCAGTACGCACATAGGGGCGTCCCCATCTTAACTAATTGATAATTGATAATTGATAATACCATAGACTAACCAACACAAGTAGACTTCACCTCATCTCATTGCCAGGATTCATGGGATTTCTTGCTCTGTTCTAAAGGCAGTGTTTGACACAATAGTAGCACCTCTTACCAATCTAATAAATGCCTGCGTTTCAAAGGGAATTTTTCCTGGTGATCTTAAGACTGCTAGGACCATACCGATCTACAAGAAAGGGGACCCAAATATATTGGCCAATTTCCAACCCATCTCATACCCAGCGGCCAGCACGGTTTTAGAAGCGGACGGTCCACCACTAGAGCCCTTCTAAAACCTTGTTGAGACGATAACCGATGCTTTCGAAAACAGTGAGTCTGTATACTTCTTGGACCTATGTGATACTTGGCTTAAAATACCTACTTTGTATGGTCGCCATTTCATCGAAAAGTATTAAGTAGGTATTAAAAGTAAAGTATATCTCAGCAAGGCGTTTGGTGGTCTCGCATGACACTTAGCAAGTATGGAATTAGTGGGGCGGTTCTAAACACACTGGCAGGGTACCTTGAAAACCGGAAGCAAATCGTATCACTGAGTGGGGCCTCTTTTAGACTTGGCGTACATCTACGGAGTTCCACATGGATCGGTCCTTGGCCCATTACTTTTTACAGTGATGATCAATGACATCACTAAACGGTCACACACTGCTATTTGCAGACGATACAACCTCACTCTCTCGAGGGCGAGACCTGTCAGAGCTGAAAACAGAAGCCGAACATCTGCTGGCGCGGCCAAGGATTGGTTTATCACAAACAAGCTGAAGATAAACGAAGACAAGACTCAGTCTTTGGTATGCACCCTCAAAACTAGAGAGGAGGTGGATTAACCTGTTAAGCTGCTTGGCTTTTGGATTGACACTAAGTGCAGCTGGACTTATATACCACATCGAAAAAGTCTGTGTTTCTGCTGAGAAAACTAAGGTCAATCATAACCCAGTCCTACCTTAAGACTGTGTACCACCCCCTTTTCCACAGCCACATAACGTATAGACTGGTATTGTGGGGTCAGGTCACGCTCCTGTAGCCCATGATGTACTGCTGCTCCAAAAAAAGGCACTCAGAAATTTAACATCTTCTTCTAAATACACTGAGCACTACCAGCCTATTTTTAAGGATCAACAGATAAATAACCATCTTCAGTCAATACGTCTATGACATACTTAACCTCCTTAAGGAACATGAGGGTGAATATTATAAAAAAGGGAAGACCAGCACAGCGCTACAACACCAGAAGAGCCCAAAACCTTGACATTCCAAGCTGTCGCTTAGGTCGTACCACTTATTATTTTAGTCAAACTTAAATAGAAAGTATTAAATTTTAAAATAGCACTCCTCTTCATTACACTAATGAGGTAAAAGACTTAGTAATCTGGATTTTTTGGACGAGGCAGACCCTTTGCATGGGCAGCCAGATTCCCTGATCCTATGCCTATCTTATTCCTTGTTTGGGCATTAATTAATAGTGAAGTGTATACTACCGATACTACAGATGTATACAGCGAAGAGGACTTGGTAAAGCTGTATAATTGACAGTAGTTGTACAAAAGTTGAGAGGATCTGGATCTCTGTCCTATAAGATTGCAGTTGCAGCAATAAAGAAAAGCTAAAGAATACAGAACATGCAGTCAGGTAGTTTTAACCATTTACAATTCTTAAGGTGCAGCTTTTCCATGTTTCTGTTTGTTTTCAATTAAATTAAATAATATTACCGGTACATTGTATTTCAAAATTGATTCTGTAGAACCACTTATATTGCAAATATAATGTTAATCATTTATTCTTTTAATTACTGTACTTCTGACTTGTGCATTTACTAACCTGGTATTCAATAATTCAAAGCATTTCGACTATGTACTATAGTAGTCAATATGTATATACTAAAGTATTAGATTGGATAAGTTTACTTGAGGTATACTTAATTATACAGATACCTTTTACACACAACTTTCACTAAATGCGTTCGGTTCTTGTAATTAATCAGTGCAGTTAATGAAAAAATGATTAATTTTATGTTTAAATGAAAATTTCTCTCCTTAGGCTAACATAACATGTCACATATTGCAGATCATTTTTAAAGCTTAAAATGTGGAGATGTTTTTTATACTATTTGACAGTTTTTAACATGACTTGACAACAAATTCCCTAGAGCGAGTTGTAGCGCCATTTTAGATTTTCAAAATTTTGTATTTAAGTTGTTGAAAAAACTATGTGTTAAATTATACGTGTTCTGATATACAATTTAATGACAATTCTAAAAATACAATTAAAAATGTCGTTATGAAGGTTAAAAGTTGAAAAATATGATATTTTATTAGGCAATGTAAAGAAATTTGGAAAAAAGGACTGTTGCCGGAAGTAGGAGTGAGATATAACTATCCAAATTGCGTATTTTTATCGCAATTTGCGGGCATAATAATGCCATAAAATATTTGACACTGGCTACCAAACACCCTGTATACATTTTCATAGTATTGAAAGTTTGCCAAAATAACTAAGTAGACTATCTTTAAGCCAATTGATCTAGCCTCCCAGTAGTGGTCCCAGTAAAATAGCACGGTCTGTCTTGGTCTAATTAAGAGTAAGACCTTAAAAAAAATATGTGCCAGACCCAAATGTAATGTATTTGTGAAATGTGTCTAAACCAACCACTGGACAAGTATTTTTAAGGAAAAACACACATTACCTACCAAAAAAGTGTTTAATTTATTTAATTTTTTGTTCAGTATTCTCTTGCAAACTGGGAAATATATTAATTCACGAAATATATACTGCTTCCATGGTTTTTTACAAGTATTATACTTTTAAAATTTACAATAATATTTTTTTGCAATAAAAACATGTTTAACTAATATTTTTCCCTCTTCAACACCATTATTACATTTCACCATGAAAAAATTAAGGGTTCAAAATATTATTTTCAAAATATTTAAAGGATATGGTAGGATCATAAAATTTACGGAACAATATGAGAAAATGAATATAGATAATATGTCTAAAGTTTAAGGAGCTAAATATCAAAAACTTTTTTTATATACTAATTTTTATTTGGGGGTCCACTAGACCCCCGCGCGAGCTCCAGTGTCAAAAAAACTAGCGTGCACGCTTAAGGGACTCTCTTGTGAATAAAAGCTACTCGTTTATTGGCAAGTAAATACTTCCTTAGTACTACTACTGACACGGCCACCTTCAACTAACTGAGGATCAACCCTTTGACAGTATCCAAAAGGCAATGATCAAACTTCTAATACATGTAGGAAATGGGCAAACAAGGTTATTGAATAAAAACATTACAATATGACTATTTATTTGTACAATAAATCGTGCTAGTGTACATAGGTTGTTCTTGAAACTGAATGCACTGTGCTTAATTGAGTGATAAATTAAATAAATAGCTCAAAATACCTATAAAATTAAAGGTTTCCACCAATCCATTGATATTTAAGTAGCATATGCAAAGTCAGTGGTGAGTTGTTTATTATCTTTTTTAAGGTATGTCTCATAGTGAAACTGACTATCCAATATTTTTATTGAAACCTTGCAGCTTTTCAACTGCCAAATATCAGCTGAAACTATTCGGTGAACTTTGGTAAGATTATTAATTATTTTGCTCCAAACTCTAGGTTATTTAAGTTAGACTGATTAAACGGATTAGTTAAGACTGAATGTTTTAGGCACAGTTTAAATATTTATTCGTTGTCAATCATCAAGAAGTAGTTTTTTTTTTACTGATCACTGGCAGCATTAAAATGCTTTGCCCTTTGTTCATAATGTACAAAATATATAAATAAAAGCAAATGTATGATATACAAGCAGATAGATAACAGTAGCTAAAAAACCTATGTTTTCTATAAATATCTTTTGTTTCTTTTCTTATGTATTGTTATTATTTACAAATTGTTTTAACATTAACTGATTATTATTGTACCTTTAACTCTCAACACATCCTATTTTCTACAACTAAACTTTTATTGTCAAGTGACAAACTTACAAACGTACTATTTCAAAATGTTCAAATAATTTTCAGAAAAATCTGCTTGTATATTCCAATATTGCTTGGGAAAATTACAAATATATTATGATAGATTTATTTTTCTATATACAGCATTAGTTACACTATTAACACATCTTAAATAATTAAGTTCTTCTAACAATAGCTTTGGGGTAATCCATGCACTCAAATGTACAGAAATTTGAAACATAGTACTAGTCAAATTCAAATACATTAAATAATTGTAATTGAATTACGTACTATTTATTTATTGAAATATAAACCTGTTAAAAATCACATAAAATATATTTCAAATTAAATATAACAAATAATCACCAAAATAATTATTCAAGTTGTTTTATTGATCTAAACTTCTCAAACAAACTGTGATAACAGAACAAGTGGTAACTGATAAAATTTAAAATAACTATAGAATTTCAACATGTTACTCAAACATAAAATATATAAGTTACCACGGTCATCAACTACAGCCACTATTAAGTATTATACAGACATTAAAGATAGTTCAAATCACTAGAGGAGATCTAGGATTCAGGAAATAACATATTTTTAACAAAGAATAAGAAATTGAATTTGTTAAGTTATCTTGACAGTTATTTAAAGTAAAACTTGAATTAATACCTAAGAGTCTTTACCCCCTGCTTTTAATTCTGAATAACACCATTTGGCCAAAATCAAATTTTGTATAAAAAAATTACTAATTCACAAATTACAAAAACTCAAGTAACTGCTTTAATACCCCAAATTCGGACACAGTTACGAAAACAACATCCCTTTGTAAAATTAAAATTGGTAATAATACAGAAACACTTCTACATTATTTGCTTCACAAAATCGTCAAATACAACAAGCACAACAATTTGTTTTTGTCGCCAACACTTTTGACAATTTCTCTTGGGAATAAAAGAGTTGTTAGTCAAGGGTTAAACTTATTAGCCTTGGGACTTATACACTTTTCCACTGCGACATCATCAACAATGCCGCAGAGATTAAAAGATTAGTTTCTTTTTGAGCTGTTGATGAGGTATTTGCAACAATGAGTGAGCAGGTGTTTTTCCCCTGTTGCTTCCGAACTCCCACCACCCATTTCTCTGGTGTAGATGTCCAATCCGTACTGTCCTTCCTCGGGGAATGTTATGAAGAAGGTAACAATGTCGTCGTCTGAAACAACGTGAGACACAAACTTTGACAGCCTCTTCTCTTCCACTCCGTTCTTGTGAAGCGTCGCCATGAAGTCAGTGAGCGGGCGGGACATTCGGAACTGGAGCTCCAGCTCTCTACCAGCAAACACCAGTGCGTCCTGAAAATTTGAAAGATGTTAGGAAAAAACATGGCTTGAGTGAAGTAAGAGTGACTTAAGTAAAGTCGGAGTAATTTTAAGCCCAAAACAAAAGAAGTAAAAAAAATCCATGTTCAAATGTGTTAAGTGAAATTTAAATCAATTCAAATAACTTGTAATGATAAATTACAAGCAAATCACATAAATGTTTTTCAGAGCTCATCAAATAAATAAACACCTTTTCTGCTACGAGGCATGAATAGCTTTTTGTTAAGTTTTTTTACAAAATGAAATATGCAAAATTGTAGAATCTTTGGTGGGAGACATTTTTTTAAATCATTAGATAAGCTGATTAGCTTTCATTTTGGACTTTGAAATTTTTTTTCCGTATCCCGAGTTCACCTGTATTTTATGGTTTTTAATTCTATAAATTCTCAATAATTCATACCATAATTGTTGAATCAAGTTATTGCAATACTGTATTTAAATTGACTCTAACTTATAGCCTCTTTTTCTAAGCTTACTTGAAGGGGGGGGGGGGGTTCTTGGATGTTCTGCCACTAACTTTACCAGAGAGATATGGGATACCCTCTTAGTGAGATAAGGGTCCGGGAAAAATATACTTGTGTGTTTGAAAACTGTATTTTCCTACAGTTACCTAACAATGTACATGTTCTCTCACTGATTTGAGAAAGCAAAGTGGCCAATTCGCTCACCAGTGAGACAATGTTAACATTGTCTCACTCTAATTACTTTGTCTCACTCCAGATTTGCAACGTGAAGGCACGAAATAGTGAGCGCGTAATATGCAGGCAACGTCGTATGCGCGGCGAAATACGTTGGCAGCACTGGCTGTAAATCAGCTGGTCAGCTGTTGTACTGGTCACTTCACATTAAATGTTATATTAAAAGTTCACTTCTGTGTAAAAATAGGTTATGTTTGTTCATGTTTCTTCACAAATGTTTTTGTTTTATGGTAACTGTAGGAAAAGTATAATGTGCAACTCGAGTTCAAAGTACAATTGCCTCACTCGAGAAACCATTCCTCACTCGCCTACGGCTCGTGAGTAAGGATTTCTCTCGAGTGAGTCAATTGCTCACTTTTCTCACTAGTTGCACAAATAACTATTTTTACATAAATCTTTCATGTTGAAGATAAATTCTTCATCAATTTGTCCATATTTTGGCAATTTTATAAAAGTTTTGATAGTCGACTATTTCCAATGAAGAAAGAAAATACTTAATTGTTTTAAGTATTTACTTATAAAAGTATCTAATTAATTAAATTTAATTAATCTCATATTTTTCATCAAAGCAACAGCTACAATCAGATTAAACCAACAAAGTATGCAAAATAAATCAAAGGACACATCACACTGTAGTTTCCTTCAATGTGACGGTATGATGAGCCTGGGGGTGGGAAACATAGATCATCAGTGGGTCATCATTCCTTTGCAATACACAGTCATGCAGGGAACAGTTATTCTACATACAAGATGTATGAACAGAATACGAAATATGTGTAACACCATACACGTTTCTTCATAAAGACAATAAAACCAACCTTTAATTTTTATTGTACAGTAGTGTTTTTTTAGAAAATATTATTTCCAAAAGTTAAGCAAAAAATTGAATATTTTAAAAAAATATTTTGAGGAGCCATTGCCCCACCGCTGGTAATTCTTCCCATGGTTTCATCTATGTAAACGGAGAACCTATCTCTGGACTCACCTGGTGCGTAATT